CAACAACAGCAGCAGCAGCAACAACAGCAGCAACAACAACAGCGGCAACAACAACAGCAACAGCAGGAACAACAGTTGCAATAAAACAAAACAAAACAAAAAAAAAGCACAGCTTGCAAAAGCAAAATTATAGCAATAACAGGAACTTAACTACAACAACGGACAACAGTGAGGAAGAATGAAGAATGCTTATAAAGGGATTTAAAACCATACGTACAAATTTAGTGCAGACCATCACAGCCTACTTTCGAGAGGCAGATCCTCATGATTTTTACGTTTTATCATTTACATTGTTACGTCGACTCGCTCTCATTAACATTAATAATGACAACATACTTATAATTCGATAATTACATGACGTCACAATGTAATTAGACTTCTTGGATCGAAAATCGGCAGAAACATCGTTGCCTGCAGAATCGATATACACGCTTGATTTGAAACAGGTTTTTTTCGTTCGATGCCAAAAAAAGTATCGCATTGTGATGACTATTGCTTGGGTCGAGTTTAGTTCCGAATTCAGGCGTGTCTTCCCCTTGCTTTGCGATTGGTTAAACATGGGAAAGCCATACAAGTGTCAACATTTTTCATTGTAACATTCCTCCTATCTTTCAGAATGGTTTATTAGTTTAGGTCAGTCTTTCTCGACTTCAATACAGAATCCCAAACATTATGATTGGTTGCTCATAATCGGAACGTCATACAAGTGTCATTTCTTATTGGTTTATTGATTGCACCCTTATCTTTCAGGATGGGTCAGTTAAGTGCAGTCCTAATCGGCTTCCTAGTTCTTCTAGTTTTCAACATCGTCAATTTACAAGGCTCCGTGATTCGTAAATCCTTTTATGGTACGTCTCAAACAGCTAAACTTTTCTATATCGTGTTATATAACACGTTGTAAACACACTGTATCCTCCGTTTGCAAACTATCTGTAGTTATGGATTTATCCTTTTGCTTCTGTCTGCACAGATAGCGTGTTGGAAGGCGATGATACGATTATGGATCAAATCAGCAAAGTCAACGAAAGTAAATATCGTCATTATATAGTTAAAAATACTTTACATTTAACTTTAAAATTAGATTTAGAGAGAGAGAGAGAGAGAGAGAGAKAGAGAGAGAGAGAGAGAGAGAGAGAGAGAGAGAGAGGGAGGTTTACGACAAAAAATGAAATCATGAAAGTAAAAAAGTAGGATAGGCATCAGGAATTTAACTGGAACTAGCATTTTACTGATTAACGGATCTGTTTTACTACAGTGACGAATCACGTGGCATATGAAGCTGACATTGTATTAACCGAGCGAGACGAGTCGACTGTACATGAGAGAAGAAAAAGAAGAAACGCTGTTAGAGAGAGAAAGAAGTTATGGCCGAAAAGAGTGGTTCCATATGAAATATCACCAGGAATGGGTAAGATAAAATACGGCAAAGGCAACTGCGACCACGAGAGGAAGGAGGAAGTACGCACTTTTCCACGCGCGCCATAGCCCAAGCCATAGCCGGAGGATTTGTCAAGTGCCGTTTTTGTGTGGTTTTTACATCGTGATGAAGATGGCGCGCAAAGATAAATAAACGTTAACCCGATCTTTCGTCGTGAACGATGCGTTATAAGACAAATATTCAATTCGTRTATACTCTGATTGGCTAATGATTGAAGAAATCGAAAAACTAATAAAATACGTCGACAATAATTTAATGACGTCATAAAAGACAATAATGACGTCAACAAATAGTGTTGATGACGAAAGCAAGCGTGCGCATTTTTTTGTTTGTTTTGTTTCCATTACGAAATGTTGTGAACATTTTCGAAACGTTTCAAAATTTACCTTTCGAGTTGCGTATCTGGAAGCAAGTGTCATCGTCGTCAAGATTCCATTCCATTCCTGCTGCGGAAAAGATAGATTGTTCGTTGATCGACGCTCAAGACTTTCTTTGATTAACTTCTGTAGTCTCTGATTTGCCAGTGCTTCTATAACAGCTGCTGAGTTTGTCGTCTTGTTTTTTATCCTTGAAGAGTGAAATACAGAAGTGGAGCTGCCCTTTGACTTGGGACGCAAAAAAAAGAAAAAAAGAAGAAAAAAAAAAAGAAAATTTAGAAGCACCTTTTCTAGCTTGAGCGTATTGTTCCCCCGATTCAAATCACGTGTCATTTCCTAGAGTATCAATGCTGTGTTTAAAAGTTGCACATTTATGTAGATACAACTTCAACAAATAATCTTTTTCTCAAGAGAATGACACGTAGTCTGAAATAAGAAAACATTAAACCCAAGCAGAGAGGGTCTATAGAGTCTTACATGAAAACACGAAAGAAATCACACTTTTCTTGGTGGAATTTGTAGCATTTCTTTTGTATTTCCATGTTATTCTTTGCATTATTATTCAAGATCATTTCTTTCTTACCATAGAGGCGTATGTAGACAACATCTTGGCGGCCATCAAGGAATTCCAGAAGCATACATGCTTAACTTTCGTGCAGAAGACAAAAGAACGAAACTGGATTAAATTCACTAAAGATCGAGGGTAAGAAAATGAAGGCAAAATACTTTTATCATTCAAGACTTTTGCACTGGTTAATGTACTCAGCATCACTGACATGTTAGCAATTACTGTACCAAACGTTTTCAAAATGTAATTGTCGTTCCCATAAACTGCATATTCATATTTCATGAGATTACCTTATTTAGAATAAACTTAGTTGTCTTTTTGGTGATTTTCCTGCCCTTTAAAGCTTTAAAATGTCGAATATGAAGCGAAACCTAGAGATATCATAGCGAAGAACCACCATCTTAAATTTGGCTTACGGACCTGGCCTTTGACTAAGGAAGCCAAAACGTAAAAAACACAGGGATCCTACGCGAACGAAAATATCGCTAGAGTTCGTTATATCTATCCCTTTATTCGACGGTTTTTCTTCAGGTTCTCACCCTCCTCAAAATCTTACAAGCTAAATTCAAATTCGATCTGTGAATTATCTGCTCAGTGGTCATAATAAGACTCAATATAACTAGGATCAATATCAAGGAGACTATCCATAGAGAGTTTCGCCTATAGTTTTTCTTTGTTGCTTTCGCAGATGTTGGTCGTACATCGGTAGGATCTACTGGCGCAAGGGGGAACAAAACTTATCATTAGGCACGCGTTGTAATACCAAGGGCATCATTATGCACGAGATGATGCACGCAGTGGGCTTCTGGCACGAGCAGAGCAGACCGGACAGGAACCAGTTTGTGGAAATCCTTTGGGAAAATATACAAAAGGGTAAGTTCACATATATAGACCCCTTGCATGTGATTTCAAAGCGGCTCAATTTGGAGGACAAATCAAAAAAATAATATCAATTTCCTGAGAGTTGGAGTTTATGTTCTCCAAATTGAGCTGCGATCCGACTTGCTGCAAGGGATCTATTGTCAAAGAAATTTCAGATTTCAGATCACTAACCCCCCAAAAAACGCTATTCTAACGTTGTACTTTCTTTACTTTACCGTTGGTTGTGAAGATTCTGACGCTGTAATGTGGTTAACCCTGAGTAAACGAGTCTGTAATCAAGAAATACAGCGGTAATGTACGAATTCAAAAACCGTCTATTGACAATTCTTTTTTTCTTAGGAATGGAAAGTCAGTTTAACAAGTACAAGCATAACAAAGTAGATAACCTTGGTTTTACCTACGACTACCAGAGCATCATGCACTACGGGAAGAAGACGTTCTCCAGAAATGGCCTACCCACGATACGATCCCTGGACAATCCCAGCATGCGCCTGGGGAGTAAAGACGGCTTCAGTCCCATGGATATTGAAAAGATGAATGCTCTTTATGAATGCTCACGTGAGTTATAAACGCTGTATTGTATTTGAAATAGACCCATCGGAATGATTTCAAATCTGGAGGTCAAAAAAAGAACTTCGTGCTTTTTAAAGGCGCGATTACACGGAGCAATTTTCATTGCTACTTAATTATCTCGCAATTGTCATCAGACGATGCTTAAATTTTGAATTTTGAAATTTTGATTTTTAAATCTTGACGACGAATATTAAAAAATACGCTTTGCAGACGCGAGAAATATCACTGCATTGGTTGAAATTCCCTCTCTACAAGATAGTATTTTAGGACAAAGAAATCTCAAGGTTCTGTATTTTTCCCCATAGAACAAGAATCAAATGGCTGGAGTGACTGGAGTATCTTCACGCCGTGCAACAACAGATGTATTAAGACAAGGCAACGAGTTTGTTTCTCTTCGGACCTCGAAGACTGTCCGGGTGCTTCGTCTAACAGAGTTAAAACTCAAAGACTGAAGTGTCCTCCGAAGGAATGCTACAGTGAGTAAATGCTGATTCTTGGAATTAATTAGACACACCACGCAATAGCATATCTTTCACACCAACTGTTATTTCCAAAGCTGACATTCTCATCAGAGCGAACGTTCTTATCAGGTCGCGAATAACAGAGCTACAATACTGTATTTTACCATATCCGTAACTATATGTACGCGTTGCAATAACCTGATTAACGGGAAAAAATGGGAAGTCATTTCAGTGTTTATGTCGTAACAAGTGTGCGCGCGGCTGTAAGCCAGGACGCTACGTTTCACGTAGACCGCTCGAACGTTCTGATGAAGTTGTTGATTTATTTGTCTTGTCTATGAACAAAAGAACGAACGAACTATCTAATGAATGCAGGATGGCTAAATGAATGGAGGAAAAAGGAAGGAAGGAGGGAAGGAAGGAAGGAATAAATGTATGATAAAATGAACAAATGAACGAACGAATAGAGGAAACAACGAATGAACAAATGAAAGAACGAACAAATAAATGAACAAATAAACGAAAAAATGAACAATAATTGTTTTCTAGCTCCTGTTGATGGTCAGTGGGGTCGATGGAGCGAGTGGGGAGCATGTGACAAGACCTGCGGTTATGGAGTACAAAAAAGAAAGCGATCGTGCAACGAACCAAAACCAAAACATGGCGGCAAAGAATGCCGTGGTGCTGACACTCAGAAGCGCATGTGCAACATGCGGCCATGCTCTGATGGTAAGAAGACTTTTTTCTTTATGTAAAATACTCTTGTGTTTCAAGAGTATTTAGACTGGTTTACTCAGGGTTAACCTCATTTCAGCGTCAAGGTATTCACAAATACCAATGGTGAAAAGAAGAATGCACAGCTCAACTGTACAAACACGTGAATATTTTACTCAAAGTCAATGCTAACCCTGAGCAATAGAGAACTCGAAACTGGCCATGGAATAATAATCCATGCTCCTACTATGAGTGCTATACGACACGTTAAATCCCAACTCATTCTGTGAGTTAGCCGATTCAGTTGATTCAGGGTGTGATTAACTGTGAGTTACAGCCATGCCCTGACTAAGATCATCCTTCTAGAGGTCGTTTCAAAGCTCAATCTGTGAGTTAGCCATGCCCTGCCTAAATAAGCCTAGAGGTTGTTTCAGGGTTCTATCTGTGAGTTATCCATGCCCTGACTTAGATCAGCCCAGAGGTTATTTCAGGGTTCTATCTGTGAGTTAGCCATGCCCTGACTTTGATCAGCCGAGAAGTTGTTTCAGGGTTCAATCTGTGAGTTAGCCGTGCCCTGACTTTGATCAGCCCAGAGGTTGTTTCAGGGTTCTATCTGTGAGTTAGCCGTGCCCTGACTTTGATCAGCCCAGAAGTTGTTTCAGGGTTCAATAACATTGAAAATGGATATCATTTCTACCCAGGTAATGACAAATGCAACTTTGAAAAGGATTTCTGTCACTGGGAGAACATCTGGAGTACAACGTCAACGTTTCACTGGAGAAGGCAACGTGGACCAACACCGAGCCGAAACACGGGACCGATGGCTGATCACACTACAGGCAAAGGTAATTAAATAACCTAAAGATGTTATGAGTACTACTTTTGGTTTTAAATAGGAAAAGAAAACTTTAGTAAAATCCTGATGAAAACAAATTAGTCCAAAGACAAAGGCACGCAGGAGTAAAAAATGGTATATTTTGCGCTTGCAAAGTTTGCTCGTGCGCGCGCGTTTAGTGTCGGCGTCCTTATTATGACGTAAATAAGCAAAAGGTGTCGTCCAGATAATACACGCAGCACACGCAACGATTTTTCCTCAACTGTAGCACGCAACATGCCAACTAGCTAAGTTTTAACAGCTATTTAAAGTCGTAAGACATGCAGTTTTACAATCGATTGACACGAAGCAATTCGTGTCGTCAGCATGTTCGCGCTGTAGTTGTGAAGAAACATTATAACGTGTAATTCGGCCTTCAGATGAAGGTGCCGTGTCAATAACAAAAACAAAAACAAAAAAGCCATTGTGCCGCTATCCTCAAGCTGCATTGTCACAATCTCTCTATTCTAGAACATCAACGCATTTCTCTGTTGCCCATCCTCATTGTTACCATTAAATCCCTTACAGGCTACTACGTTTATCTTGAAACAAGCTGGCCAGCGAGACTTGGTTACACATCAACCCTGTCTAGTAAATGGCTAGAAGGTTCAGAGGCTCGTTGCCTATCCTTCTGGTATTCGATGCACGGCCAATCAGTAGGGTCTATAAGAGTCTATATTACAGATGATTTAGATGTTAGGAAGCTATTATGGTTGAGGTCTGGTCCACAAGGATGGTCGTGGAGAAAAGCATCTATACAAATCAATTCGCATTCTAGATATAAAGTGAGTAATGAAGCAAGCTTCCTTAGTCGTTTGTTTAACTGTTTGTATGTATATATGTCTGTTTGTTTCTTTATTTGATTGCTCGTTCGCTCGTTCGCTCGTTCGCTCGTTCGCGACACCGATGAAAAACGCACTGCGCATGCGTTGGGAGAAAAAACAAAATGGCGGACAATAACAATTGATCACATCTAAAGGTAGGTTTTATTTTAACCGACAGGGCTATTTTTTAAATAGTCGGTTTGGAATTTTACACATATTTTTGGATTTCTTTACATAGGATCCGACCATGTGATTATCTGCAAATCGTCGGGCCGCGAGTGGCGGCATTTTCAAAGATTATTTTTGCTTTGTATAAACAAAAGTTTTTTTGTATAAATCAGCAGTGTATCACTATCGAAATTATCTT